TGTGGTAAGGTAACCACGTCGGTAACCAAGAAGACCAGCTACATCGTAGTTGGCGAGTCACCCGGTTCCAAGGCCGATAAGGCAGCGCAAACGGAACCTCACATCAGGACGAAGCAGCCGTGCCAGCGCTGCTGACTCCCCCGATTCGGCCTTGGACAGGGGCGGGCAGCAGGGCGCCCTTGTCTGACACCGCTATCATAGTCGGCCTCGGCAACCCTGGCCCGCGCTTCGCCGATACCCGCCATAACGTCGGCTGGAAAGTGCTGGACCTGCTGTCCGAACAGTTGCAGATCTCCCTGAACGAACGGCGCCCCAAGGCCGTCCTGGGCACTGGATACCACGCTGACCAACGGGTTGTGCTGGCCAAGCCTCGCACATTCATGAACAACAGCGGAGAGGCGGTTGAGTACCTCCTGGCGCGATTCGGCGGCAATGGTCGCAACCTTGTGATAATCTACGACGAAATGGCGCGGTTGCCCGGGCGTATACGCTTGCGCGCCGCCGGAAGCGACGCGGGCCACAACGGCATCCGCTCCGTCATTCAGGCCGTCGGCGGCACGGGGTTTCCCAGGGTGAGAATCGGAATCGGCGCGCCGCCAGCGGGACTTGTTGCCCGCGACTACGTGCTGGGAAGGTTCGACGACCAGGAGTCGGAGGCAATTCTCGGGGCGGTTGATCGCGCCGCAGCCGCTGTGCGTTGTCTCCTGGTAGAGGGCATTGACGCCGCCATGAACCGGTTCAACCAGGACCCCAAAGCTGTCGATGATCCATCCGAATCGACACCACAATCCCCATCCCAGCCGCCTCGGTCAGAAGGCTCTGATACCGGCAGTCGGTCGAGATTACAGGGAAAAATCTCATCAGGCCAGGACGAGCAGCGACGCGGTAACACCCACCAGAACGGTCAGGGACATTAGAACCGGCAGGCAACCAAACCGGCGCCCGCCGGGGCCGCCGCCACTGCCACCCCGCCGTCCTCCGCGGTTTCTCCGCCGGGTGCATTCTACACAGGTACAGGCCGGAGGATGCTCCCCTCAGCCGGTTAACGTCATAAGACATTCATCAGTCCTGCCAGCATACGGTTCGGCGTCTCCACCGTATTACCAGTATTATGATGCCAGAGGCGCCCAGACTTGTCACACCTTCGTGAGACTACGATGCCGAACATCCTTGCACCCGGGATTCGCGCGCGCATAGGCCCGCTGGCCCTGCTGATCGGCGGTATCCTTGCACTCGCAGCATTCGTTGCCTGCTCCGGTGGCTCTCCCGCTGGACCGGCGGCTACCAATGTTGCCGCACCCCAAACCAGCCCGGCCACTACTGGGTCTCCCGCCCCGGTCGCCCCCACAACCTCTCCCACCCGAACGGAATCGCCTCGACGACTTCCGCTCCTCGGCATGGAACGATTGCGGGACCACCACCCATCTCAACTCCTCGATCCCAGGAATCCACAGGTACAACCAGTGATGGAGCAGCAGAGAGCTTCCCGGTTCCACCGGACAGGGATTACTACCGCCTGGCAAGGGAGCTCATTCCCGGAGCATCCGAAGTGGACCCGGTCGCGACGCAAAGTGCGCCCACGCTCGAAAAAGGGCATCGAAAAACTTCAAGCTGGTAGACCTTGATGCCAGGATCCTGTACGAAAGCGAGTTTGAACTGCCTGGTGACTCCGCACGCCTACTGGTTTGTGGAGGATGGCGTCAGTGCAAGCCGGGAGGACATCGAGCGGTCTGCCAGAGAGTTCGAGGAAAACATCTATCCAAAGGTCACCGGAGTGTTCGGCCAGGAGTGGAACCCGGGAGTGGATGGCGATCCGCACCTATACATCGTCAACGCCAACCTGCGGGGCGTGGGAGGCTATTTTAGCGCCGCCGACGAATACCCCAGGGGAAATTCGGCCGGTCAGCAATGAAATCGAGGCCATTTATACCAACGCCCGGTATCTGCCCATCGGTACCGATGTCTTTTCCCAGGTGCTGGCCCACGAGCTCCAACACGCCGTTCACTGGAACCACGACCTGTCGGAGGAAACATGGATCAACGAGGGCCTGTCGGAGCTGGCTGTTACCATTGCCGGCTACCCCGAGATTAGCATTCTTGAATTTCGCCTCGCCGGCCCTGCATCCCTGACCCAGTGGCCGGCCGCCGACGTGGGAGGATCAGAGAACTACGGTGCCGCCTCCCTGTTTATGCATTACCTCACTGAACACTATGGCGGGCGCGACGACCTCAAGCCCCTCTTGGCTCAGGCAGAAGACGGAATCCCTGGCGTTGATGCTTTCCTGCAATCCGCAGGGTACGACGTCCGCTTCGCCGACGTGTTCCGCGATTGGGCGGTGGCCAACCTGCTGGACGAAGAGATCGGTCGCTTCGGCTACTCAGATATGGATATCAAGTTCCCCGTATATGAGAACCTGAAAGCGGGCAATGAATTTCCATAGCTACTCCCCAATACGCCAATGAATACGTGCGATTGGAGAGGCTGGCCACGCCTAGCCTCCTGTCCTTCCAAGGCGACCGCACCGTACCGCTCCTGCCCGAAGACACAGGAATGGGTTGCTGGTGGAGCAACAAGGGAGACGTCATCGACTCCACCATCGCTGCTGGCGTGGACTTGCGAAGTGTGGAAAGCGCTTACCTAGATTACGAAATATGGTTCTCTATTGAGGAGAACTGGGACTTCGCGTATCTTGAGATCTCCAACGACAACGGCAAGACTTGGACAATTCTGGAAACGGACTTGACCAGCAGCGAGGACCCCTTGGATGTCTCCTTCGGCCCTGGCTACACTGGCACCAGCGACGGCTGGCACGGCGAGTCCGTCTCCCTTGACCATTGGGCCGGTCAGGAAATTAAGGTCAGGTTCCAGTACGTTACTGATGCGGCCATCCACGACCACGGGCTCTGTTTGCGAAACCTCCGGGTGTCCAGTGCCCCCGAATCAGCAGTGCTCCCGGCAGAGTGGCAGCCCAATGGCTTCGTATGGACAAATAATCTGGTACGCCAGACATTTACGGTGCAGGTGGTATACGAAGGCGATGAGAGATCGGTGAACCGTGTTCTGCATGTGCCACTGGACGAGACCAACCGAGGAACGATTACCCTCGACCCATACGAAGAGAGCAAAACGAATAGTGGTCATCATTCAGCCGACTGCCCCTTCCACCCGAATGCCAGCGAACTTCACCATCAGTTTGGAAAATACCGGCTAGACTATGCCCCTGCCGGTTGGACGGATGAGACAATGAAATTTGGACTGTGCGTTATCGGCTGCGGTTCCTTTGCCCGCACCTTCGCCAACGCCATTCAGAATGAACTGGTCGACATAGAACTGTACTTCGCTAGCCGTGATCCGGGCCGGGCGGCCGCATTTGCCGGCGAATATGGCGGGGCAGGGAGCTTCGGAGCCTACGAAAGCGCGCTGGCCGACTATCGAGTGAACGGAGTGTACATCTGCACACCACACTTCCTGCACCTCGATCACGCCCAAATGGCTGCCGGCGCTGGCAAGCACATCCTCCTGGAGAAACCCTTGGCCCGCACAACCCGTGAGGCGCAGGCCATAGTAAATGTCGCCGACAAGGCTGGCATAACGCTGATGGTGGCCGAGAACTACCGCTTCATGCCGCCGGTGCTGGCCGCTAAAGCGATGGTTGACCAAGACGAATTGGGCGAACTGCGGCTCGTCCAGCTTCAGGAGGATTTCCCGTTTCAGCCCGCTGAATGGCGCAACAATGCCGATTCCAACGGCGGCGGAGTGCTGATAGACGGCGGCATCCACAAGGCTAGTCTGCTCGCATACCTCGCAGGCAACCCCTTTGAGATCTACGCCGCAGAAGTGCCATCTGCGCTACCCGGATTGGAGGCCGAGGACGGCGTGGTGGCCATGTTGCGCTATTCCAGCGGCCTTGTCGGAGTGATCAACCACACTTGGAGCGCCGGCCCTCACAGCGAGCGCCCGTGGGTAACGTTATCTGGTTCCACCGCGAGCATCGCTTTTGAGTTGGGCGGAGACTGGATCGACACAATCGACGCCTCCGGACGCCTCAGGCAGCAGCTGAGCGACGACCGGGCAGGGCTTGCCGGAATGGTCCGCGAGTTCCGGCTCAGCGTCCAAGAGAAACGGACTCCGGCGGTGACTGGCGAAGAGGGGGCCCGGGACGTCGCCCTGGTTCAGGCTTGCTACGAATCAATGCGCTCAGGCACTCCCGTCAGATTCCCTTGATTTCCCCCACACTGCCAGCCACGGAGCCCTCAACAGTGAAAAGGCCCCATCGGTTGATGGAGCTCTTTTCCTTTCCTTTCCGTTGCCGACGATTGGTCCGGGCTTAATCCGAACCAATCGCAGCTGTGTTTGGACGGGATGCTAGGCAGTAGCCGCTGCCCCCACAGTTTCGATGATCAACCTCGTCACGGTGTAGGGGTCGCAGTTAGCGTTGGGCCGCCGGTCTTCAATGTAGCCCTTTCTGTCCCGGGCTACCTGCCAGGGGATCCGAACCGATGCGCCCCGGTCGGAAACGCCGTAACGGAACTCCCGGTAGGAACAGGTTTCGTGCTGGCCGGTCAATCGCTCTTCAATCCGGTGACCGTAGTTGGAAATGTGCAAGTCGTGGCGCCCCTTCAGGGCCTCCGCCGCTGCTACGCAGGCGTCGTACTCCTCCCGCATTTTGTTGGTGGAGAAGTTGGTGTGGGCCCCGGCACCATTCCAGTCGCCCTTGACAGGCTTGGGGATCTAGGGTGGCGCTGATGCCCTTGCGTCCGTCGACGGTCTCCACATCCTCTCCGATGCGGTAGAGCAGCCAGCGGGCCAGCCACAGGTGGTCGCCGACGGCAGGCGCGCCAATCGGACCAATCTGGAACTCCCACTGTGCCGGCATAACCTCACCGTTAATGCCGGCGATTGCCAAGCCGGCCTCCAGGCAGGCGTCCATGTGCTTCTCCACCACGGGCCTGCCGAAAACCTCGTCGGAACCTACGCCGCAATAGTAGCCGCCCTGGGGCGCAGGGAAACCGTTGTCCGGCCATCCCAATGGCTTGATGCCGTCAAAGAAGGTGTACTCCTGCTCGATTCCGAACCACCAGTCCATGTTCGCGTACTGTTGCGCCGCCGCGGCACAGCCAGCACGGGTGTTGGACGGATGCGGCGTCATGTCTGTGAGCAGCACTTCGCACATCACCAGCTTGTTGTCACCGCCCCGCACCGGGTCCGGGACCATCAGGACCGGGTTGAGTACGCAGTCCGAATTCTCGCCGGGGGCCTGGTTGGTGCTGGAGCCATCAAAACCCCAGACCGGGGGATATTCCCCGTCCGGAACGATCTTGCCCTTGGAACGCAGCTTGGCCGTGGGCTGTTGCCCGTCAATCCAGATGTATTCTGCCTTGTAACTCATAGGTCAACCCCCACCTATCAGATTCTGAATCAAATTATAACTGAACTTGGCTGCGGTTTTGGAGTCACGGCGCGCCGAACGCTTTTACGAGCTATGATTACTGCAAAGATCGGATATGTCGCTGAGAGAAACTGGATGCTCCCTGGCCCGACCGGATTAAGATCCCTCGCCTGCGCATCAAGTGGTTGTGGCATCGAAAAATACGTCGCTGGACTCGCCAGCCTCTATATATTGCCCGGCCTCAGCTCTCACTCAGGTCTCGCTTGGGGAAAATGATTCGCTCCGCGCTATCAATGCGACGCGGAGCGACTTGTTTCTTCATCTAAGGTGCCCGCTCTGCCACGGGCTCAAACCGAAACTACTTGTTGCGGAGAAGCTTGCGAGGAACAACTACCCAGAGAGCGAACAGTCCGATAAAGGCTCCGGCGGCGGCGATGGCTATCATTCTGGGCTCCTCCGAAATCGTTGTATGACCAGTATCGCCCCAGGTTGTTACGCGCCTTTTACGTAATTGTTAAATGTTTGTTACACGCCTCCCCGCAAAAGCAATCGCCCCGCGCTGTCTGGCAGCACGGGGCGAGCAGTGGCTGTTAGTCGGAGCCCTTTTACGCAGGCTCGAGGACTTCGCAAAGTTGATTACTTGCGGAGAAGCTTCTTGGGGAGAACCACCCACAGGGCGAACAGTCCGATGAAGGCTCCGGCGGCGGCAATGGCTATCATTCTGGGGCTCCTCCGAATTCGTTGTATGCCCAGTATCGCTCCAGGTTGTTACGCGCCTTTTACATACTTGTTAAATGTTTGTTACACGTCCGCCCCGAAAATGCAATCGCCCCGCGCTGTATTGCAACACGGAGCGAATAGTGGCTGTTTGAAGAGAGCCCCCTTTGCGCGGGCTCAAGGACTTCGAAAGTTGATTACTTGCGGAGAAGCTTCTTGGGGAGAACCACCCACAGGGGAAGCAGTCCATGAAGGCTCCGGCGGCGGCGATGGCTATCATTCTGGGGCGTCCTCCGAATTCGTGTATGCCCAGTATCGCCCAGGTTGTTAAGCGCCTTTTACATACTTGTTAAATGTTTGTTACACCATGTCCCTCTCCGAACTACCCAGAATCTACTTTAAAGAACCTCCAGGCCTATCCGCACCCCACCTGTCTAAAAAAGAAAACCCCGCGCCTCGTCTGCGCGGAGCTACGGCTGCCGACGGGCCTGCAACTTTAGGTCCAAGTTACTTATTTTTCATGAACTTGCGGGGAAGGATCACCCAGAGAGCGAACAGTCCCACAAACGCAGCGGCGGCGGCAATGGCTATCATTCCAAGTGTTCCTCCAAATCAGATTGAAGCGGATTATGGAATCGCATTGTTACGCCTCTTTTACATGAATGTTAAATGTTTGTTACAAGGTTTAACAGGGGCCACGGATTCAACTCCTGGTTTATCCGGCCTGCAGTGGAGTAAAGAAATCGCCCCGAGCTGGCAGCGTCAAACCGGCACGGAGCGATGCAGGGGATAACGCAACCGACCTCCCCGACTGGCGGCGGGCCGGTCGCAGGGGGATTACTTGTTGTTACGGATGAATTTCCTCGGTATTACCACCCAAAGCGTGAACAGTCCCAGGAACGCACCCGCAGCAGCCAGAGCAATCATTTTTCTCTCTCCCCAAATTTGCTTGAACTTTATGATCCCAGTATGTCAGGCAGTTGTTTCGCTGGCTTTTCAATCGCGTAAACTATTTGTTACGAGACGGAAATGGAAAGGGCCGGAGTTAGACTCCGGCCCCAGTGTTCCCCGTATGTCGCTCTGGAAAGGCCCTAGTTGTCGTAGGCGGGCAAGTTGTGCTCCGAGAGGTCCAGGCCCTGTAACTCCTCCTCTCTGGAGACGCGAACCCCCATGGTGGTCTTGAGCAGCAGGAACATGGCGAAGCCGGTAACCAGGGCCGAGCCCAGTACCACGCCCATGCTGATGAGCTGGGAGACGATTTGCAGGCCCTCGCCGCCAACTAGGCCGTTCACATCGTTGTTGCCGTTGGCGAAGATGCCCACTGCTAGGATGCCCCATAAACCACAGGTGCCATGCACTGAGATGGCGCTCACTGGGTCGTCAATTTTGAGGATGTTCTCGATGGCCCAGACCGAACCCATCATTATCGGGGCAGCTATCGCACCGATTACAACCGCCGCCCAGGGGTCCACGTGAGCAACCGGGGCCGTGATTCCCACCAGTCCAGCCAGAGCGCCGTTACACCCCATCAGGATGTCGGACTGTCCTGTACGAACTATGGAGATGTAGAAGGCCACTACCGCCCCGGTGGCGCCGGCCAGCAGCGTGTTGATCGCGTTTAGGCCGATGGAATCCCCGGAATTGATGTTGAAACCAAACCATCCAAAGAACAGGATGAAGGTTCCTATGATCACGAAGGGAACATTGTGCGCCGGCAACTGGTTGGGAGAGCCGTTGGCGTTGAACTTCCCGGTCCGTGCGCCCACAACCACCGCGCCGGCCAGGGCGATGAATCCGCCAACCGCGTGCACCACGCCAGAACCTGCGTAGTCGGCCGCGGCCGGAAGGCCGATGGCGTCGAGGTTCGCGAGCCAGCCGCCGCCCCAGACCCAGTGACCGTACAGCGGGTAGATTACGGCGCCGATCATGAAGCTGTAGGCCAGGTAAGCCTGGGTCTTGGTCCGCTCGGCAACCGCGCCGGCCACGATGGTGGCAGCGGTCCCCGCGAACACCATCTGGAACATCCACCCTATATAGACACTCCAGTCGTTTCCTCCCTCCGCAAGGAAGAAGAGCGTGCTGTTTGAGTCCTCAACGCCTCCGAGGCCCAGTATTCCACCGGCTACTGGCAAGCCAAACATTATCGCGTAACCGAAAGCCCAGAAGGACAGCGACGCAATGGCGAAGTCCATGAAGCTCTTGGTCATGTAGTTGGTAACGTTTTTGGATCGGATCAGTCCCGCGCCCAGAAAGGCGAAGCCTGCCTGCATGAAGAAGACCAGGAAGACCGCGACCATGGTGGTCAGGTTGCCAATATCGGTCGCGTTTGTCTCGACCGGGTCAGCATCCTGCGCGAAGGCCATGTTGTAGCCCACCAGTATCGCTGCCGCCAACAGACCCGCCACGCTGTAGGGCAGGAATCGCCGGAACAACGCTGCGCTTCTGGTTTGGGGAGCCGTCTCTGCCAGCATCTCCCTTCTCCTTTTCGCCCAATACTGGGCGCGTGAAATTATTCCCCAAAAGAATGTAGACCCTCAATGTTACAGGTTAGTTTCCTAAATGTTACGCCCATATTTCAAATATGTTAACAATTCGTTACCTTGGCGCCCCATATTCATTACTTCGACAATCTGTATCGTTAATATCGCTAATTCCATTCATGCTGGCCAAACTGTGACGAAAAGAGAGCAGGCTGTGGGCCTACTCTCGGATTGCCGCCATCGGCACACTGATTCATGGTCCTCAACTACTTTTCGATGGGGGCTCCAACGATACTGCCCCATTCAGTCCAGGAACCGTCGTAGTTCCGAACGTTCTCCATCCCCAGCAACTGGGTGAGTACAAACCAGGTGTGCGACGAGCGCTCTCCAATGCGGCAGTAGGCGATGGTCTCCTGCCCGCCGTCAATACCGTGTCCGCCGTACAACTCCCGTAGGGCGTCCGCCGACTTGAAGCTCCCGTCCTCGTCTACCGCCTGGCCCCACGGTATGTTGGCAGCTCCAGGTATGTGTCCGCCTCGCTGCGAACCCTCCTGCGGAGCGGTTGGCGGCGCAAGAAGCTCACCGCTGAACTCGGCCGGAGACCGGACGTCTACTAGGGAAACGCTTCCCGCGTTGACCAGGGCCAGCACCTGGTCCCGGTACGCCCTGACACTTTGGTCGCCATCTGACGCGCTGTAGGCGGCGGCTGGATAACTGGGAGTATCGGTGGTCAGGGGTCGTCCCTCCGCCTCCCATTTGGCGCGACCTCCGTTCATAATGCGTACGTCGCCGTGCCCGTAGTATTTCAGTTGCCAGAAAGCCCAGGCTGCGAACCAGTTGTTGTTGTCTCCGTAAAGTATGACCGTAGTACCGTTGCCTATGCCCGAGCCGCCCAGCAGCTGCTCGATCTCCTCTTTCGACGCCAGATCGCGACGCACCGGCTGCTGCAACTGGGACTGCCAGTTCCAGCCCACGGCTCCAGCGATATGACCCTGTTCGTAAGCCGCCGTGTCAACGTCTACTTCCACAAGCCGGACGTTTGCGTCCCCGCCATGCTCGGCTACCCATTCTGTGGTGACCAGAGACTCGGGATGAGCGTATTTCGCCATTACTGAACCCCTCTGCATTTCGATAGTGTATTTGCCGCGATTCCCAAGTATGAGTTAAACCCTTGCTTTCCCATTTCTGAAAGTATTTTATCCCAATCGCCGATGCGACCGCAGCCCCGGAAAACTGGGGGAATAACCCAGGTGTTGTATTCCCTCCGTGCGTCCGTAGGTCCATAATCCATACGGCTATTATGGAACGTACCCCAATCCGCAGGGCCTTTTGCAATTTCAAAGGCCCTTGGATAATATAAGGTTAACAGTAATGCTGGCTGGCGGCGGGAACTTGCCCGTCGGCAAGGGGACTTTATGGGTAGCAACCGGTGGCTTCGCAACAGCTTCGTCTACCTGATGATCATCGTTGGCGTGATTGTCATATTCTACACTCTCATGCCCTTTGGGAGCGCGGACGAGGAACCGGTGAGCAGGGTCATCACCCTCGCCAAGAACAACCAACTGGAAAAAATCGAAGTGAACGGTGACAAGCTCACCGTTTATCGCACCAACGGTGAGACCTTCAAGAGCAAGCTCGAGAAGGGCGACAGCATCACCTCCCTGCTGCTGGAAAGCGGGGTGAATATCGGAGAACCCGGCGTCGAAATCTATTCCACAGGATCCAGCGGGCTGTCCAGCATCTTTGGTCTCCTGCTGAACTTCCTGCCATTGATCTTCTTCGGCGGGCTGATCCTGTTCATGATGCGACAAGCCCAGGGCAGCAACAACCAGACCTTGAGCTTCGGCCGAAGCCGGGCGCGTATGGTGCCCTTCAACCACCCCACCGTCACTTTCGCTGACGTGGCCGGTGTGGAGGAAGCCAAGGTGGAACTGCAGGAAATCGTAGAGTTCCTGAAATTCCCGGAGCGCTTCCTGGCTCTCGGCGCACGTATCCCCAAGGGGGTGCTGTTGGTGGGACCACCGGGCACTGGTAAGACCCTGCTGGCCCGGGCCGTCGCTGGCGAAGCCGGGGTTCCTTTCTTCCACATCAGCGGCTCCGAATTCGTTGAAATGTTCGTCGGTGTCGGCGCCGCCCGTGTGCGCGACCTGTTCGAACAGGCCAAGCGCAACTCGCCATGTATCGTATTCGTGGATGAAATTGACGCCGTGGGTCGGCACCGCGGGGCCGGGCTCGGCGGTGGCCACGACGAGAGGGAACAGACGCTCAACCAGATTCTGGTTGAAATGGATGGGTTCGAGACCAACACCAACATCATCGTGATCGCGGCCACCAACCGCCCCGACATCCTAGACCCCGCTCTGCTCCGTCCCGGGCGCTTCGACCGTCGCGTGACTCTTGACCTGCCCGACCTCGCAGGACGCAGGGACATTCTCCGGGTTCACGCCGCCGGCAAACCCTTGGCCCCCGAAGTCGCCTTGGACACCGTGGCCAAGGAGACCCCAGGATTCAGCGGCGCCGACCTGTCAAACCTGGTCAACGAGGCTGCCATCCTGGCGGCTCGCCTGAACAAGAAGTCCATCTTCATGTCCGAGTTTGAGGAAGCGGTCGACCGTATCATCGCCGGTCCCGAGCGTAAAAGCCGCCTCATAAGCCGCCGCGAGAAAGAGATGACCGCCTACCACGAGGCCGGCCACGCCTTGGTGGCTTGGGCGCTTCCCCACGCTGACCGCGTCCACAAGATATCCATCGTCTCTCGCGGGTCCATGGGCGGGCACACCTCCCTGTTGCCGGATGAAGACCGCTACCTGTGGACCAGAACAGTTCAGCATCGACAGTGCTGTCGCGTACATAGGGAGGTCACGGTGGCCGAGGAGCAGTCAATTCTCGACGAGTCACCACCGGCGCCAGCAACGACATCGAGCGAGCCACCAAAATTGCTCTGGGCATGATCAAGCGTTACGGCATGAGTAAGTCTCTCGGCCCACGCACGTTCGGCAAGCGCGAAGAAATGATATTCCTTGGCAGGGAACTCAGCGAGGAAAGGGACTACGGAGACAAGGTGGCTGAGGAAATCGACAATGAAGTAAAGACGCTCATTAACCGGGCCTACACCGACGCCTGCGAAATACTGATAACCCACAAGCCGAAACTGGTCCTCTTGGCCGAATATCTGATCGAGCACGAAACGGTGTCCGGTGAAGCATTGAACCACCTGTTCAACGAGGACCGCCCTGGGAGCGAACCCACTGGTTCCCCCGCAGTGCCACCGGAACCGCCGCCCCAACCGGCGCCGCGCCCGCAGCCAACAATTCAGCCGCGACCTGCTCCTACGTTGTCTTCCAGCAACACCCAGGACGGTCAAGGTGAAGAACTCTTGCGCTAATTGGGCTCTCGGAATTTGATGCCAAATTAAAGGGCGGGATTCAGTCCCGCCCTTCTCTATTATCATCGCTGGGTTTCCGCCAAGTATTCTCTAGGTCCCATCCATCGGGATTGTGCCGTGCTCCTATTCCGCCGTATTTGCGTCCTGCAGAGCAGGCAGCTGCCTGTAATAAAGACCCCACTGCTTCATCAGATCTCCACCGCTGGATTCTTCAGCGCAACCAGTTCTCGAAAGAAACCAGCCAGCGCGTGTGCCGGCATTGACTCAGCCGAGCAGACCCAGCTGCGCTCACCGGGCACAACGTAGATGAGGCCCCTCTGGTGCTCGCATACCGCCTGAATCCGGGTCATGTCATCACTGGTCTTCACTTCCAAGCCTGCCAGGGTGGTCATGCCACTCACATCCTTTTGGTTGATTCGGCCTCGCTGATTTGCTGCTTGAGATTCCCCTAATCGTACGCCACGAGGCCGCAACAGCAACAATTCCGGCCCATTATATCGCCGAATCCGGCATCTCGTTATAGTCGTACGGTAATGGCAGTGTTATCATCTACTGCGGATCACGCGCCGGAAAGATCGGCGCGGCAAGGAATTGTCGAGCATGTACCAACCCGGAGGGCAACCCCCAAGACAACCCGAGTTGAATTTCGACCAGCTCCTCGGAGGAGTTGGCGACACTCTGCGGCGGATTTCCAGCCGTCTCGGCGGCGGTGGCGTCGGCCTCGCCATTGTACTTATTGTCGGACTGATCGTAATCATTTGGGCCGCTACCGGAATCTACACCGTCAGCCCTGGTGAAAAGGCTGCACTGCGTCTCTTCGGCGCGGCCGAGCCGGCACCGGTGACCGAAACCGGTCTGCACTGGTGGTGGCCCTCCCCCGTGGGCAAACGCGACGTGGTCCAGACTGTTGAAACCCGGAGGATGGAACTGGGATTCCGCAGTGGCGAGGGCGGCGCGTTGACTTCCGTCCCCATCGAAGCCCAGATGATCAGCGGCGACCTGAACATCATCGACCTTCAAATGGTGGTCCAATACAACATCAATAACCTGAACGATTACCTGTTCCGGGTGTTTGACCCCGGCGAAAACGATGGTGCGCAGCGAGATATTCCTTCCGGACGGCCAGACGGTCGCACGCTTAAAGATGCCACCGAGGCGGCGCTTCGCCTGGTGGTTGGCCAGCGTGGCCTGGGTGAAGTCCTTGCCGAACAGCGCACACAATTGGAAGTTTCCACCCAGGGCAAGCTGCAGGAAATACTCGACAGCTATGACGCTGGCATAAACATTATCAGCGTCGAGTTACAGAAGGTCGAAGCCCCGGAAGACGTGCGCGCCGCTTTTAACGACGTGCTACAGGCCAGGCAGGACAAAGTAACCGCGACCAACCAGGCCCAGGCTTACGAAAACCAGGTCATCCCAGAGGCACGAGGCCGGGCCGAACAGATTATCCAGCCGGCGGAAGCATTCAAGACAGCACGTATCGAGAGGGCGCTGGGTGAAGCCGACCAGTTCCTCTCAGTACTGAAACAGTACTCTGACCGGTCCGTAAAATTGACAAACACGTTGCAGGACACCGACGGAGCGGACGGCGACGGCGATTCCACGACCGGCATAGGTCTTGAGGACGTTACCGTAATCGAAGGCTCTGGGCTGTTCATTGCCGACTTGCTGGTGTTGGGCGCGCCTGATTGCGCATTCACCGCCCGTCAGGCGGCAGCGTCCGAGACAGCAACCCAAGTCTGCGGATTCACTGGTTTATCGTTAGAACGTTCCGAGGCGGCAATGTCAAAGCGGCGGAACACAAGGCCAACCGCCGCCTACCTCGGCAACGAGCACCTCACTGTCCCCCAGTTCGCCTCCACTGGCAGCGTGAGCATCCGGTTGTCCAATTCCGTACTGGACTTGGACAACCGCGACGAAGACGATGATCCTATGACGGGAATAACTGTTGGCGATATCAGTGTGGTAGACGGTCCCGACGGCGGCGAAGTCGCAGGATTCGACCTGATCCCAGCGAGTTACGACTCCGTTACCAAAATTCTCTCTCTGTCGGTCCAGCCGGGCGAATTCTTGGTGCCTGGAGACTCCTTCACCGTGCTAGTACGACGGCCTCAATGTGAGAACCTGACGCGTTAGTCGACGCCTAACAGCTCAGTTACTGCAGGAGCGCCTGTACCTGGAGGCGATCGAGGAAATTCTCCCGTCAGTCAACAAGCATCATTGGTCAGCGCCGCGAGGCGGAGACGTGCTCATCCTCATACGCGCGACAGAGGCGTGTGGCCGGCGTTCCTGTGGGCCTGCAGCCTCAAGCCGTAACCCATAGGCCAGTCGGCCCACTTCAAAGCGGCAGTCCTGTTTATCATCGAAATCCTGGTCACCCAAGACAGGGATCGGATTCTGGGCGCTGGCCTGAGGAAAACCAATCGCCAGCGCGAGCCAGCCTACGGGTATAGTTAAGGGGTTCCAATGAGAAACCTGGTTATCGCGGGCGTGGTGGCCCTGGTGCTTATCATCACGCTTCTCACTTCGCTGTACGTGGTCGACGAAACCGACACAGTGGAGTCACGTTGGCGACGTGTCGGTGTCGCATTCGACTAACACGCCCGGGCTGTACTTGAAGGCGCCGTTCGGTGTCGATCGCGTCATCAGCTATGACAAGCGAGTGTTGAGAATCGATGCACCCCCAGGTCCCTTCCTGGACAAGGATATCAACATCCTGGAAATCGACGTTTACGCCAGGTATGTGATCGACGATCCGCACAGCTTCCTGCAGAGCTTGAACACTCAGGACAATGCGTCGCAGGTACTTGGCCAACGTATCAACGGCGCCCTTCGCGCCGAAATCGCAGAGCGGAGCCGCGAAGAAATCATCGGTGGCGACGTGGCCCTGGACGAACTTGGAAACCCGATAACCGACTCCGAGGGCAACGCCTTGGTCAACCCCACCAATTCCAGGACCGAGATCCTCGATGATGTTCTGGCATCCGTGCAGGAGGACCTGAGCACGGAGCAGCCGAGTTTCGGCGTGAAAATGATCGACATCCGCATCAAACGAGCCGACTTCCCCGCTGAAGTGGCGGGAAGAATTTTCGAGCGTATGCGCTCCGACCGCGAAAAGATCGCTCGCCGCCTGCGGGCCGAAGGTGAAGAAGAAGCCCGTACCCGTCGTGCCTCCGCAGACAAAGAGGTGGAAATCATTTTGGCGAAAGCTGACCGGGACGCCGCGCGTCTCCGTGGTGAAGGCGAAGCCTCTGCTATCTCAATTTTGGCTGACGCCCTGAACCGCGACCCGGAATTCTTCACCTTCCGTCGTAGCCTGGAAGCCTACCGGCAGTTCCTGAGCACACAGGCAACGATGATCCTTTCGTCCGATTCCGAGCTGTTCCGGTTCCTCCAAAGTTCCGGCGAGCTTGAACTTCCTTCCCCCAGCCGGTAACCACCGGCCGCCCCCGCTTAAGTTGCACCAACTGGTAAGGGGCAGGCACCAAGCCTGCCCCTTACTGTTTCCAAAGCCTCTGACCCCAATAGTAGGGAGTCTCGGTAAGTACCCAATACCGAGTGGGCCCCTACCTCCCGGCGAGGCGGCGCCCCTCCTCCAGCCCGTGGGTGGTCTTTTCCGGCGACGTGATGATGATCCCGAAACCCTGCTCTAGCCTCATGGGCACTTCAGCGGCAGTGGCCCCCGTCGCGCAAGGCACTCCGGCCTCCTTGCAGGTCTCCAGTATACGCAGCAAATTTGCTTGCACTTCGGGGTGTCCCGCATTGCCCTTGTGGCCCATGGCAACCGACATGTCTCCAGGGCCTGCCCAAACGGCCCCGATCCCCTTGACCTCCCGCAGGATGTCCTTCAGGTTCTCCACACCGTGGGGTTCCTCCACGATTCCTATCAGCAGCATATTGCCGTCCGGGTCTAGCGGCCATAGGTCGGCTGCGTCGTAGTACTCTGCGGGAGTCAGGCCCCAATATCGGGGAGCGATGCGGTACCACCAACCACGCTCGCCCTCGGGTTCAAAGTCCGCCGCCCCCGGCACCTGCGGATAACGCGCCGCGATCACCGCAGCCTGGGCATCCTCCACTGTTTTCTGTGATTTAGCACCAAGCCCGTTAAACGCCGTTTCCATCGTACCTTTTCAGCACCCACTGATTCCGTTCGCGGAAGTTTGGCGGCACCCGTACAAAGGGTACCGGATCGGCCTGCAGCGAGCCTCCTTCCGCAACTTTCTTGCGGGAGAGCAGGAACTGCAGCGACATCCTGAGCTTGTCGAAACTGAAGTCCTGGTGTTCCATCTCGACAATGGTCATGTCGTATTCTGAATCCGCAACGAAGGTCAGGTCATCCAGGTTCCCGTTCCACACCAGCCCTGAGCAGAACACCGGCTTGCCCTGTTCCAAGAGTTCGATCACCTTGTTGTAACGAACCATACAACCTCCTTCAATATCGTGCGCCGCCCTTGAATTGGAACGGCACATCTGGAGTCGCGTCGGGATTATGCTTCTGGGCCGGACAATTGTCCATTGAAACCGGCTCCGTGCTTGCGCCCCTGCTCAGTCATCGCCTGTACCAACCTGGCGAATCGCCGGCCTCGTTGACTGGCAGGGGAAAATCGCCTACATTCATACGGGCCAACGAAATAAGATGGAGCGACGCAATAGGCACATGCGTCCTGCTTCTCACAGAGGCTTTCACGGCGCCAGCCGGGAGCGAGCCCGTCAGGATTCGGAATGAAAATACACGAGTTCCAGGCCAAGGAAATCTTCGCCCGCTACGGCATTCCGGTGCCCCAGGGTACAATCGCCGCCAGCGCCGATGAGGCGCGCGCCGCAACCGAACACTTCGGCGGCCGGGCCGTCGTCAAGGCCCAGGTCCACGCCGGCGGTCGGGGACAGGCTGGGGGCGTCAAAGTGGCCCAGTCCTCAGATGAAGCCGCGAGTACCGCTGCCGCCATGCTCTCCACCAGCCTCGTAACCAAGCAGACCGGACCCGAAGGGGTGCCTGTGAACCAGTCCTGAGCTGTATAAACTGGCCGACATCGCCAAGGAAATGTACCTCGCCCTCACCGTTGACCGGGTCGAACGTCGTACTGTCTTGCTCGCATCTGCTTCAGGTGGCATGGACATCGAGGAAGTCGCCGATACCAACCCTGAGAGCATACACACAGAACTATCGACTCGGTTTCTCTGGGGCTCATGCCCTTCCAATCGAGGCGAATCGCCCGCTATCTGGGGCTGGAGGGCCCAGCCGCAGCAGCCGCACCGGGGCTGTTCAATTCGCTCTACCAGCTCTTCCTCGATAACGACTGCACGCTGGTGGAGGTCAATCCCCTCATCGTAACCGGTGACGGCCGTCTGGTTGCCCTCGACGCCAAGATCAACCTCGACGACGATGCCATGTTCCGTCGCCCCTCTCTCCGCGAGCTGCGCGACAGGGCGCAGGAAGACGAACTCGAAGCCCAGGCCGCCGAACTGGACATTGCCTACGTCAACCTCGACGGCGACGTCGGCTGCTTGGTCAACGGGGCTGGCCTGGCCATGGCGACGTCTGACGTCGACTGGGTCTCGGCCGCCGGGGCGCGTCCCTGCAAACTCCTGGACTGAGGCTGAGCCACGGTCGAGAACAGGTTCGCCAGTGCCGTCGGCATCATCTTGTCCGACCCCAAGGTGCGGCGGGTTCTGGTCAACATCTTCGGCGGAATCCTGCGCTGCGACATCGCCGCCGAAGGCATCGTCGTGCAACGGACACCGGATCAGTCCTGCCGATAGTAGTCCGTATGCTGGGCACCAACGTGGACGATGGCAAACGCATTCTCGAAGAGTCCGGCCTGCCCGTAGTATTCACCGAGACCCTCACGGAAGCTGCCGACG